TCATTTAGAAAAACACAACTTTGATACTTTTAGGGCTTTTGGGACACTCTGTACATTACAAAAATATTTTTAAAATGTGCACCCGATAGGCGTCTCTGGATTAATCAAATAGTACTTTGCAAAAAACAAACGGGCTAGCCGTAAACGTCCGAGCCGTATAGCGTGAATAACCCTGTATAATGTGATGAATTTGGGTTCTAAATGATGGTGATGATGAATTTAGGTTCTTGTGGCTATCATAATTCTCGACTTGATATTTAAAAAAAAGAAATTATGCTTCTTCAGCTTTAACCCAGAGAGTGCGCTTGTAATGTATGCGCTCGGGTAATTTTTTATTTTTTTTTGGAGGGGAAATCCAGTACCTATGCCAAATCTTGTTAAATGCCTGGCTAATGTCCAAAAACAAACCGAATCAAAACGTTTTCGTTTCTAACGTTTAAGTTATTTTGTTCACATCCCGATGCGTCTGTTCAATTGTGGAGTGATGTTGATGGAAACCGAATTGGTGCCCTGGCAAGAGGGTTCTGTTGGCCAGGACGGCATCGGTCTTTTACTGCTTAAAATAACGAATAATCATGAAAGATCAGTTGCTTTTCAAGCAGACTACTGTAGAACAAAGCCGTCGTTAATGTTGATACCGTCTTTCCAACGTATTTTAGGATTTTGTCAGTTTCTTCGTCTAGCTCTGCTGGTGAAAAGTGATTAACACGTTTGGGTATTACAAACAATATTTATTTTTCTGCATCCTGGAATCGTTGAAATAGCATAATACCATATACGTTCGTATCTTCATAGGATAAATGGTCAATTAACTATTGACTGCTCACTTCTATCCCGGCCAAGGTTGAATTTTTCAAACAAATAGCGGCGCTGTTATTGCAGAATTTCTGAGACACTTGCTTGGGTTTGTTGTGATTTGAAATTTTTGGAATTAGCAAATTTTGCATTTTCTTGCTCCTCATCTTCAATAACTCCGTATTGTGTAAATTGAGTGAAACGTGAAGTCGTTGGAAGATTGCTTTGTTCGGATGATCTGTATGTTTTTCAAGTCATTCGGTGGAAGGTTGGTTTCGATTTTTTACGTGCCGATTCGATCACATTTGTAGAGTAAATTTAATGTGTAAACCGTTTTGGTGACACATTTTGTTCACCCGCAAGTATCCTGAGAAGCTGATTTTTTTCAGCTGGGCAATTTACACAGTTAGTACGTGCACGGCCTTTGTTTTATATTGATGTCGGTTAGTTTAGTCAGTCGGTCACTGTACTTGATATTTTCATTTAGTGAATTACGAGATTGGATTAGGAAATTTCTAAAGTGTAATATTTAAAAACTCATCAATGTTCTTCTCTAATTTAAGAAGAAAAAATAAAACTCTAAATTGTAGGCGTTCCAAAGTCCAATTTAGTAATTTTGAATGTTACTAAGAACAAAAGTCGTGATTAGAACAAACTTTTTAAAGATTGTGCATCCCAAACTATTAAACCACGCGCCCCGACTATATGTAATTACCGTTTGCAAATTGTTATTATTTGTGAATATTTGTTTTGCAGCATGCATCTCTATGCAGGCTTGAAAATGTTAAACAATTCCCAGAACATGAACAAAGTCCAGAATAAAATTCCACTTCAAAATTAAAAACTACATAAAACAGATGTTGAAAATTTAAGAACGCAACATATGCGAAGTTATTTTGAAAATATCTTGAAAGTATCTCAAAAACCATAAAGTTAGAATTATATTAGCGTCAGAAAACTCGCGAGTATAGCAATACTTACAAATGTTATTATCGCATTCGAAAAATGTTAGTTTCATCATTTCAACCATATTGCATATTTTAAATCACATCCATTCACAAAATAACATTTTTTTAATATCACACAGTTTGGTCGCAATTTTCAGTATCGAATGCTTGAATAACCCTTAATATCTTGTAACCATCACAATAAAGTAAGATTCGTTACTTTTTTTAAAGAAATATATACAGTGTAAGCCATTTAAGAATAGAAGGAATTGTCAACAGACGGATAATTCTAGACAAAATTGTTGTATTAACAGTTTTTAATTAATAAATTTTACATGTTTCCAATTTTTATATTTCGAATTATGTAATGATGTATTTGTCAGACTTTCAGAAGACCCAACATAGCTTAATTTTTAGGTATTAAAATGACTATGTTTTCGCTTTCCTTTGCCAAATACAAATTTATAAAATATAATTCTGTGTTAAGCCATATCTACCAAAAACAACTGTTTTCGTATTGTTTTTCTCAAAAAATCACTTTCATTCGGGAGTTATGAAATGCCCAGTTTGTTTAACAAACATTGCGTTAACTTAAGGCTTCAGTAGGTAGAAAGTGTGGAATATAGGATGCTAGTGAGATTTTCGGGTTTTTAGGCCGTCGTAAAATTGAATTTCTTCCTGACGTTTCGCAAGCACGAGTGGCTTGCATCTTCAGAGATGGCTTGCTTGAACGTTTACACTATTCTGATGATCACAGAGTGAGACGACGGATTAAAAACCCAAAAAATCTACTAGTTTCAAAGAATGGCATCGGAGGTATATCTCTTTTGATTGTTCTAAATGTTTTAAAAATTAGCTACTATGTTCTAGTATTCATAGGAATAGGCACATGAATGAAATTCCTTTATTTTGAAATAAAGTGAAAATATGCAGAGAGTATGAATAGGTATTTCAAGACGATACAGACTTATAAAGTATTTCAACAAAGTTCGTAGGTATTAATAATGATGTAAAAAGTTAATAGCAAAATAGTTTACAGGCTACTGAACTTAATATTTAACCAAGTCGCATAAATTAGCATTATTTAGCAAATTCCGAGTTTAATTTACCTTAGCCGTTTGGGCATTTGGTTGTCCTGGAATGAACAGACTTTCGGTCCGCTTTGGCTGATTCGGTGAAGGAACGATGTCTTGACCAAGACCTCTTTTTCGGAGAATTACGTCTTCGAATGGTGGTGTACTATTATTGTGGATCGTTGGTGAAGTTCCTTGACCTGAAACCAGCAATAAATATTTTGCAAAATCAAAATATTACTCAAAGTATATAGTTCCTCATTAATTAAAATAACACGTCAAAAATTTTGCTGTTACTCGGTATGTGTAATTTTGTACCAAACGCTCTAACTACTAGCAAATTATTAATTTGGATAATTTACTATTTTACAAGCAGTTTTTAGTCGATTACTATTTACTACAGTGTGTGAATCTGATTTATACAGCGATGTTTTAATGGAAAACTTGAATAGCTTGACCACATAGTTCTATAATGTGGTAGGAACATTTCATATTAAAAAAATAGTTAATAATGTCTAGCTCTTTGTAAGAGATACCATCGCACTGTAGAAGAAGTTTTAGTTGCCGATATTTGGAAAATTACTAATCAACCTAAGGTGACTGTGGTCTAATACGCTAATACATTTTTATTAAGTATAAATCAATGAAAAAAAGAATAAAAATTAATTATTACGTAAGAAATTACATAAATCAATGTGCATGACTAAATAGTTATATCGAAAAAAAAGGAAAAATATCAAGATAAACAAGTGAAGAATACGGATCACCGAACGGAAATAATTTTTGACTGCATGAAAAGTTATAAGAAATAATTATTGAGGAGAGATACATTAAATTAGAAATCAAATAATAGAAAATCTATACTTTAATATCATATTATATTGATACCTATAATAAACAAAATAACCGCCAAAAAAAGTAACCGTGCTTTTGTAAAAGATGTAAACACCGTGCTCTTCTTTCACTTTTAAAAGTTCTTTATATCATCCCAACTTGGTGCAATTCTATATACATTGTCATTTATTTATAAATACCTCGAACTAAAAATCAACCATATAGGGATAAATACCTACCAGTGGGTACTGATCCATTCTTAATTCCAGAATTTAATCCTGACGCCACTGGGGTAGAGCCTCTTGCAGTCGAAGGTGCTCTAAGTGTTCTGTCGGGAGTTTCAAGTCTCGTCGCTGAGTTTCTATCTACAGAAGGTTGTCTGGATCCCGCCAAGGAGTTACTTAATCTACCTGTTGCCCTAGAATACCTAAAATAATAACGACTTCGGTTAGCCTGTATTTTTGAACAATCAAAATCGTCGCATAAAAACTCATTAAATGTATGTTTCTCGGTAACATATAGACTGCATAACTGAACTGAAAAATAACTTTTATTACTTTCCCGGTTACTTTTGGTGGTTTTAATAATTTTTTTTCTAACCTGTTAAATATACCACTATCAAATGCAGTTCAGACACGCGATATAAGCGGGGTAACCACTGCATCTTAGAAAAATAAAGTTCAGCTAATTTTATATTAATTTTTGACTGATTGGGACACATTTTACGGTTCATTATTGATAGTTCTTTCAACGACCGGTTAACGAATTATTCAGGGCGTAATCATTGAACCGTTCGCAAAAGTTTGGTATATCTATTTTTTATGCGTTATATGCAACATATTTTTGAGGCAGTCATTCGGTCAATTATTGGTGTGTTATGTGCTGCAGTATGAATAATTGTACTGGGTGACAAATTGAAACATTATAATGGATGCCTATATCTGAAGAACAAAAAAAGAAAAAACATTTTTTTTTAGAATATATCGTAGAGCGAAAGAAGGCCAACAAAACAGCGATATTTTAAAACCCAAAAAAATTGTGATGTTTTAAATGGTCCCAGACTATTGCAACTAATGCCCTCTAGGACCCACAAGCTAGGTAATAGGAAATGTAAATTTCTCGATCTGAAAACTCCCAAACACAAATTTTTATAGTCATAGAAGTCATAGTAAGAATCTATTAAAAATTAACGAAAATTTTATTTACACTTGTCACCCTGTATCTCGAAAACTATTAACTTTTAGATAAGACAAATTCGCATAAAACTCAATATTTTGATCTAAACTCCGTCAGTGGATTTTGTCAGATTGGTTGAGCACCACTCTGTATAAGAAATAGCAAGAGAATCGATTGTTACCGCGTGCCAAACAAAACCCAGTTAAGTTTTTCGTCGTTTTGATGCTGCGAGCAAAAGAAAGCATTTACAAATCAGCATAGGGCTTGAATCTGGATCTTCCAATTCAGCGGACTATACTCTATACCCAATATATCCAGTATTTAAAGTTGAAAATCGAGCAAAAGACTAAACGGAAAAATATTGTCGAAATCAAGTTATGATTTCGTCGCTGTTGATGATGCCACCAAAAAGCCTTGATGAGTAATACTTGGCAGAGATTAGTATTGATTAGTCAACTAATCTCTGTACTTGGCTGGAATGAGGCTCCGAATTTCATGGAAATGCGAGAGAAAACTGATCTGTGAGCTCATATCAAATCAAGTTAACTATTCCGGTGTTGTTATTGCTCAAAACTTCATAAAAAAATTAATAAAATGACTGCTTCCATAGCGGGCATTTAATTTAGTATAAAAAAGTGTAATGCGCCGGATTTGTTTATCTTTTGCTGAGAAAGGGGGTTTATTTACGTTATTTTCCAAACGAGATTGAACGTGAAACTTGTCTTTGTGAATATTGCCGTGTGAAAAGGTATTTTCTACCAAATTGTCAATAGTAAAAAAGTGAAATCGAACTGCAAAGTAAACAATTCAATGACTCATACAAAGGGCGATCAAGTAAATGGTTATCGCATCATGTTGGCTCCGGAGTGCGGTTCCTACGGACTGCGGCAAAATTTCGATATCACATGAGTTTTTTACAAAAAGTGTCTGCATTTTCAGTTTTTACTGGCAATGGACGAAATTGGCCGGCAGTCCTTTGTGTCGTGTGAATTGCGTACTTAGATGGAAAATATAGAATCATTGTGAATTAAGGAAAGTTTATAATTCGAAATGCATTTTCATTGTGTGATCAAGTGTAGTTTGGGCTTTTTGAGGATGATATAAAATAGAGGAAGTGAAATTGGCGCCAGCTTGCGGAAATCTGGTAAGAATGATTTCTATCTATAGATTCTTTAGTTTGAACTGAGTTTAGTTTTTCGAAACGCAATTAAAGTTCTATGGATTCTTTACATTTCTTTTCTCTTTGTTCTGCTGATTTTTAATAACATGGCTATGAACAGATTTTTTGCTCTACTAAACACATTTTTTTCTTTCCAGGTGGCACGATGCAGCTTTCGGTAAGTTTGGCATTACTTTTCCCCTGGTTGCCATATAGTTGTAGAACTTTTTTAGTCTCATATTATTGACTTGTATTTTATTATATTGTTGAATTTGAATTCTGTATTGGGTTTTTGAAATTTTTGATTTTATTTTTTAAAACTAATTTAATGTCAGATTTTGAGCAATAACTCGCACTTGTTTGCTATGGTTTTTTATATGAAGTTTTACAGGTTAAATGCCAAATAAATGTTCTGAACTATGATAGCGATATATATTTTTTTCAATTATTGTTGTTATCAATTACATTCGAAACTAAAGGGTTCTTCTATACTTAATGGGTATTGCTCAGATTTACAAAATTTAACTTTTTTGCTCCGTTTTCCAACGGTTTCGATGTTCATATCCAACGGTTTCGATGTTCGATGTTCAATATGTCACGTAAAATAGTAGTATTCTGCTGCGAATACAATTTTAATTATCTATTTTGTTAGTGTTTTTCTGTTGTTAATTTTTATTTTTTCTGTTTTTAAACTTTATAAAGTCCCAGAATCCATACTAAAGTGTCTAATCTTACGCAAATCTTGTTTATTACTTTGTGGCGGTCTAATGAATAGCGCCTTAAAAGGTCACAAGTGGTCCTGGTCTAATAATTTAGATATCGCGCTTTTTCCAAATTTCACTCTGTAAATAAATTATTTTTTCCAAACGATTTGTGCTAGGAATTTTGAGCGGCTCGGATCCGTCGGGCTATTCTCTATGTTCTTCTAAATTTGATACGTCTAATGGTTTTCATTTGTTAGAGAAGAATTCGGGGTTTTAGACAATTTTAGCAGTTTGGATCCGCACAGAATTTTATTTTGTAGTTGTAGAAATAGATGGCAAACAGGGTTGTAACATGTGCAGATTTGTAAATTTTATGAAGCGAATTCCATTTTGCTTTTTTGCGGATTTTATATAGCGGTTTTAAAAAAAATCTTAGGGCACTTATTTTCGTACCCCAGGTTCTTTGTTGATGTATTTTACTATTTGCTTGAATGCTTTCAACTGTTAATATTTTATTATATCATTTAGGTACTTATTTTGCTATCATACAATTTTTTTCTGATCAAACAGTTAACTTTTCAAAATGTTTCTATCTACTAATAACAGCTTTTCTTTATAGCTTTGAACCGTTCATGTTTCAGGATATTTATTTATTTCATTAATACAATACTCTCTTTTCTTAGTACGTTATGAGTAAGTGAAAGTTTTTGCTTCCACCTTGAACTATTCAAACCGTATTAAATCCGTTTCTTATGTCGTTAACATACTATTTTTTCAGGTTCATTAAGTTACGTTTTTAATGCCTTTATTTACTGATACAATTTTCTTACAGCTTTGGAATAAATCGCGTGTTTTTGTGTCGTGTGAATCGCGTCCCTAGATGGGAAGTATAGAATCATTCTGGCCTTTAAGGCAAGTCCGGTTATTTATTGTGCCTGCTAACTGCAGGGTTAAAATTTTCAATTCGTAGTCGATTTTCATCATGTTTAAGTGTCGTGTGGACGTTTTCAACATCATGGGCGAAAAATGGAGGATGGGGCGCCAGCTTGCAGAAAGTTGGTGAGAATAATTTTCTATCTATAAATCTTTTAGTTTGAACTGATTTTCGTTTTTCGCAAAGCAACTGAAGTTTTATGCATTCTTCACATTACTCTTTCTTTGTTTTGCTAATTTTCAATGAAATTACTAAACAGGTTTTCCGCAGCACTAAACAGATTTTCTTCCTTCTTTCCAGGTGGCATGATGCAACTTTCGGTAAGTTTGGCATTACTTTTCCGCTGGTTGCCAGTAGATGTAGATCTTTTAGTCCCATATTGTTGACTTGTATTTCATGATATTATTGCGTGTCATATTTATTCGACGTGGAACGACGAGGGAGTTTCTAGATTCTGTATTGGGGTTAAAATTTTTTTTTTTTGCTTTTTGGAAAATCAATTTAAAGTAGACTTTGGACATTAACTCGATGTTCTCTATAGATACATACACATTTACAGTTTAAATGCAAAATAAATGTCGTTCTCGTGTAACGTATATTGTATCAATTATTGGTGTTTTTATGTTATCAATTGCACTCAAATCTAAATGATTGTTGTATTCTCAATGCGGATTGCTCAGACTTACAAGTTTCAACTTTTTTGCTTCGTTTTCCTACATTAAATGCTCAGGTATATGCCACGTAAATTAACGGTGTTCTGCTGAGAATAAACTATTAATTATCGTTGATGCAAGTATATCAATTATTAAAAATTTTCTGCTGTAAATTTTTGCTGCTTTTAAAGTTAATAATACCCCAGAATCCGGACTAAAGTGCCTAAAGGTATGTGAATTTTATTTAATATTTTGTGGAGATTGAGCGGATATAGCGCCTTAAAAGGTTACAAGTGGTCCTGGCCTAATAGTTTAGATTTCGTGCTGTTTTTCCAAATTTCACACTCTAAACAAATTATTTTTGCCAAACAATTCATGCTAGGGATTTTCAGCGGCCAGGACCTGTTCAACTATTTCGGTTTTTTGCTGTCCAGCGCTCTTCAGGCTGTATATGGTCCAGATCAAGATTATATCCAGATTTACGACTGTTCTTCTAAATTTGAGTCACTCAATTGCGTCGACTTTTTTGAGAAAGAATCGAGTTTTAGCGGTCTGGATCCGGACAGCATTTTATTTTGTAGAAGTAGATGGCAACCAGGGTTGTAGTTTTCCGTTGATAGCATTTAGGCTGCTCGCATGTGCAGATTTGATAATTTTATGGAGTTGATTTACATTTTGCGTTTATGCGGATTTTATAGAGCGGTTTTTGAAAATGGTAGCGCACTTATTTTCGCATTCCAGGTGTTGTTGATATATTTTAGTATGTTTAATTTGAGACATGAAGTTTCCAAAGCGTTCTATCGAGAAGGTTTAACTGAGGGTCCACATAGTTTAAACGTTTTTTAGACAAGTGTTAAACTTGAAGAGCACTTAAAAATTTGTTATATTCTTGATTAATATTTAAAGTTTTAGATTTTCTATACGAAACTAAATATGGAAAGTTCTCGAAGCGGGCCATCGAAAATCATTCGAATAATGATTACTTCAATACTTTTTCTTTAACCTTTTAATTGTTTAATTCTCATATTTCCTTGTAATTATATTGGTAAAGTAAAACACACAGTATCAATGAAAGCCTCAATCTCAGCAGCACTATCTTACCAACATTCGGCTTATCTTATTCCTAGACATTCATTCCGAAATGCGTTTGTTCTCATTTTCTGTTAATCCTAGGCTTCAGCAACGTTAAAATTTGTACGCCTGAATAAAAATCGTTTTTGAAGCGGGCATTTCCGAGGACTTGTAATATGTCCAATTACGACGAACTTCTCTAAATAGCCTTAACACTCTCTGCATTTAATTAAAAGTCATAAATGCTGATATAAAAATAAATGTGTTTAGTACTAGTTCGAGCAGGATAACCGGTATCACTTATATCTATGAAAAAACTCACCGATCTACACTAGAATCTCTGCTTGGTGGCCTCTTATAATGGTCAAAATGGTCTATGGACGATTGCTGTCCAATATTTCCTAAGTACGGTCTATCTCCCGAAACTCTTCGAGACATTCTTCGTATCGAATTTGTGTTCGTGACATTCTCCCCCGTTAAGGAATTCCTAGGGTTGTTAATTGGAGCGTTGAATTCAACGCCTGAATTCTTTCCAGCACTCTGCTGATTGTTGTTTGCAACCTGAGGCCCGAATTCGTTTACGAAAGAAGCAGGATTGTTAGTTTGGTTATAGGAATTGTTCCCATTTGGATTATTATTCGTCGTATGAAATGATTTTTGACTTTGCTGCTGGTATGAGTTTTGCTGTTGCGAATATTGATTTTGTTGTTGTTGTTGCATAGTATTCGATTGAGGCTGGAACGTGTTCTGTTGGGGTTGGTATGAATTCGTTTGCTGTTGATAGACGTTCTGCTGCTGATAAGTCGACTGTTGTTGATACGTATTTGATTGTGCATAATTTGAATTAGGTACCTGGTTATGCAATTGATTTGGAATTTGATTGCCCATCGGTTTATTCATTTTGTTCGATATTTGATTAGATAATTCGTTGTTTACTTGGTTTGGTATCTGATTAGGAATTTGATTAGTTAACTGATTCAAATCGTTAGTAGCGTTTAATTCTTTTTGGTCAATGGAAATGTCTAAGTTTCGATTTGGTTCTCGATATTTCATCTGTCGTTTGATTCGCTCTAAGTCGGGTTGCTTAAAATCTGGAGCATATTGCCTAGCTACAGTGTCTGCTACTTCCGAATCTTCTCGGGCCTGTGCCGCTGCGATATCGGCTTGTTCTGCTTTCCCGCGAGCTGTCGCAGTTCTAGAATAGAAAAGCAACATTAAATAGGACGTTTATTAATAAACAATATACAGGGTCTCTTTTATGTATGGAAACGGTGGATTATTTCCTAAATTAAGAGAGCTATTTACATCTCTGTTCTCTAAAACGAAAATATAATTACATAAAGAAAAATTTAGTATAGAGGATCCTCAGCCATGATCAGGCAAAAAGCTACGACAAAGCGAAGTTTATTTTTCTTAAATGGAACACCTTGTATGATAGTCAACAATTGACTTCTCCTCGATATTTTAAACAAAAATCATTACATGCTTAAATTTACCCGCTTTGAAGATACCGAGTTGTTAAAGTTGTTAAAAAATTGTAATCATTATATTATTTATACAATTTATACAATTACATTTTATTCATCAATAAAATTTAAAAAATTTAAATTTTGCACAGACAGGAATGGTGAAAAAATAGACATAATTGATTAAAAAAATAATTTTAATGATTCTGAGCATTAAATTGAAATTTTATTAAAGAAATTGAGCAAAGTTGCAGTTTTTTTCTAAAGAAAAGGAAAAGCACAATTTTTTTTGGGAAGTTTTGTTCGGAAGACGGCAACAGAGCGATCACCGATACCTTCCACTTCCCACAGTTTTTCTTTTAAATTGAAACATTTTGTAATGAAGCCCAATATGTTATTTGTTTGTTTAATCCAATGGCAAATGTGGATTTCACATCCAAGTTCAAATTTTCCTTATCCTATTCAATTACAAAATCATTCTAGCTTAAGTGCCCAGAATTAATTTTAAATATAAATACTTGGAAGTTAATTATTTAGTTAGATTTGATTTCAGAGATTCTTAAGAATTCATAATCACTGGAAATGTTTGTATTTTCTTTCGGATTTTCGAAACGCATCTTTAGCAAAAAGACTTTTAAAAGTTTTTTGTAAAAATATTACATATAAACTTTAAGAGCAGAATTTTTTAATTCTTGAAAACAAATCATTTTCTTGGTGGTGTTTTCTCCAGCTTATATTTCTCCCAAAAGATATTGTGAATCTGCAAAACAAGCATTGAAATATTTTTCGAAGCAAATCAAAATTAGAATTTAATATTGTTGAAAATTTTTTTTTGTTCCATTCTTCACCATATAAATTATTTATATTAACTGCCTAAGCAACAAAATTTAAATATTTTATTGAAAGTACAGAGTCATTCTAAGTAGATTAATTTTTCACGTATACAGGGTATTTGGTAAGTAGATGCATTCCTTGTAGAAGGTGACCTTTTCTCTTCCAAATTGAACAGGAATTAGAATCATCAAGTTAATTGCTTAAAAAATCAGTGGCGTAACATTTTTTTATTTAAAATTATCTACAGTCGTGCCTGTGCGCCGCCACTGGAAAAGCTAGAAATACAATTTTCATCACAAAATATGTGTTGTTGTTAAGAGTCTAAGCCTGTAAAATTTTGTTTAAATATTCCAAGCCGTTTCAGCAATATTAATAAGAAACATTTTTTTAATTAAAGCTTTGTCACCCTGTAGATCGGAAACTAAGCGTTTTCGGAATATCCCCTGGTAGAAATGCATCTACTTACCAAACACCCTGTATAAAAGTTGTTGAAACCAGCAACATTTTCAAACTACTCTTTCAGAAAACTTTAAACTCGCAAAGTAAAGTCACGATTTTGTCTAATTTGAAGAATATGTTTAAATGTGTTTACTTTCCACTTGTAAAGTAAACTTTATTAAAGCCCCATAGGAAGAAGCCGCAAGGGTTTAGGTCTGCTGACCTTGGTGGCTCAGCAACTGGTCTATTCCGGCTAATTCACCTCTATATTTCTGAAATGTCTAAATCCATTTCCAGAGATTGTTACTGCGTCAAGAGCGAGAATTCTTGTTGATAAATGTTCATCATGTTTGTGCTATTGTGAAATGCATTCAGTAAAGTGAATTATACGGCTAAACATGAAACGGATACAACCGATTTTCTCGCAATGACGTTTTTATTACTGATGTGATTTGCAATCAGTGAAGTGCTTGTTAGATATTTCGTCTGGTTCTCCCGGTTTTCTCGTTCGCATTCCACGGTTTTTCCGCAAGTTACCAGCATTTCTCGCTCGTTGAGCAACATTTACTCTAAAAATTTGTGTAAAAAAGAGTTCGTTAGAGACAACTTTATGCGTAAATCCTAAAATATTCTGCTGAACTTTTGTGACACTTTCCGTTCCTTTTCATTTCATTCAAAATATGGCAATATCAATACAACAGAAATAAAAACGTGAAAAAGTTCAATAGCGTTTTGGATTATTTTTAAATTATTGGTGCAACTTTCTCATTAATCATTTTTTGAAAACATTTCTTAAACATTTTTGTTCGTTTTAATGCCTCATGCACGCACAAGTTGTTTTTGTGATCAGTTTATATTTGTCAATTTTTATAATACCTATTTCAAGTGAATAATCTGTTGATATACAAACATACACATGTATATGTAAAATAGACCATATTTTCAAGGATAAGTAGCCTTATAGTCGTTATTACGGCAGGTGGGCGTAAATTTATTTGGCACATGACTAGAAACCGACTGCTGGCGATTGCTATCTCACGTATAATATACATAATATCGAGGGCAAGTTTTAGTGAAAAAAATGTTTCAATGTTTGACACAAGCTAAATCTTCTACAAACATAATTAATAGCCAAAAATTAGAAGTCTATAACCTGTCCATAGCACTATAAAAATTAAAAAAAAAAACATTTTATTAGAGTACTTTTCTTTCGCTTGTTTTTGTGAAGAGCATGCTAAAACTTGAAAGGAGATCTAAATCCTTTACTAGGTCAAGAACACCAAATTTTATGAGTCAAGAATATCAAGAACACCTTAAGTTATTTAATAAGCAGATGTTTTAAGGAAGAGACTAAACATATATTTCTAATGAGATTTCAAAGTTTGTATGTCCAAATTAAATAATTTTCCCGCAAAATGCGTACTTGTTTGCAATGAATTATTCAAAAACGCCCGGCAAAAAACATTTGTTCGTTTTTCAGCTTTTGATTCGGAACATGAGATTCCCGGTGTGAGAGTTAGAAATCCTTACCAAAATGAACGTTTTTAGAATTTTGAGTGAGCAATACATTTTTAACATGTAAGGTATCTGAGATGTCTGAAAACGGTCGATTTTTATGAAGTTGTAAAAAATGTTAAACACAAAAGCTGTAATTTTTTGAAAAAATTTTGCGAAATTGGAAATTGATAGTATGTACCGGACCCGTCAAAAAGCAATCACAAAACAAAGTTGGTGTTTTTTCATTAGAATTTACGGTACATTAATCGATAACTCAATTCTTGAAATTCTAGAAAAAATCGATAAACATATCACAAACCTGGACGTAACACTTTAAAAAATTATTATATTATACACGCACCTCTTGAATCGAAAAACTTGAAGAAATTTTCCCAAAATGGGAAATAAAGCTGTAAAAATAAAATACAGGGTGCCCCATAGGCACACGATCAAAAGGGTACTGCGATATTATTTGGATCAAAAGAAGACGATCTGACCTAACTTTTATTAGCAAAAAATGTCTGGCTTTTCTGCTATTGATGGTCAAAGTTCTTGAAAAAAATTATCTTTTTTGAAATATCAGGAGATTGGTACAATGTATTTTAGTGAAACTCGCTGTGAATTTGTTCTTATGTAAGACTCATATTTTCATGAAACAATCGAATTCAGCCGTTTTGGACAAGCAGTGAATTCTTGAGTGTCGTGGTACAAAAACTACCAGAACTTTTTATTTGGTGGATGGAATTAACTCATTTTTTTGTCGATATACTAATCATTTATTCACAATTCTGTGCTATTTGTAAAATCTTGTAGCATTCATAGTTTTTGCGCAAAAAAATATGTCTGTTTTCTGGCCACTTAACAATGTTAGACATTAACTGCAACTGTCTTCTTTTGATGCAAAGAAGATCGAAGTATTCTTTTGATCATCTGCTTACGGGACATCCTGTATATTAAGCTAAATTGTTGCTGTCCCTTCAGAACAAAGAATAAAGCATAAAACTATTGATCTAATTTGCAAGACAGAGAAAAATAAAACTCTATAGATAAGGTGCTCGTGATATATCTAGTGGCTCTATGATAGATAAGTGTTCTCCATTTCCCAACCGACAATAGGGAATTCGCTGAACATTTTGTAAATTATTCAAGAGGGTATTGGGGGGAATACTGAATATTTTATGCCTGATTCTATCTTGTAATTCGCTGCATGGTTAGTGGAACGGTTGATTTAGAGATAGAATCTCGGTTTGTCCATTTATTATATCATCATAGCCAATGGTTACTAAAATTTTCGATTCTAATTTCACTTAAATGTGCCATTTTTAGACGCAAATTATTCACACTGAGCGTATTTTAAGCATGTGTTGTAAAAAAAAACATGAATGCATTTTACTTTACCTCAGTAGAATGCGACACTTGAATACAAACAAATTCTCAAATTTTCTAGATGTAGGTGCATCATGTGCTATCTAATTTTTTGTATTCTAGGAAAAATTAAATTTTTGAACAAAAAATTGATCAAAACCGTTTGATCTTCATTTTCGTATCATACATTTTAAAAAACCTTAGAACTTAGCGATGAGCCATTTTAGTCATCTTGCTTTACGAGAAGATCGACCACCGTATTCAAGTATATCATCCGGTAGATGACCAAAAATATGTACAGTTTTCACGTACCATATTCTGTCATTAAAATAAGATTTTTTATAAGTTCAAAAGAATATTAAATGATCCAATCCCATCTAGCTAATTTCGTATAAAGTAGAGGGAAATATATAAATGAAAAATATAAAAAACAAAGTGAAGTGAAACAGGCCTTACCTAGAAATGGCAATGTCAGCTTTTTGAAGGGCAATCTTAGAAGCTCTCTGTGCAGCGTTAACAGCAGCATCTATCCTCTCCCGGAACTTTGCACTTCTCATTAAGAAAAGTTTCTTTTTCTTTTGACTAGTTATAAGAACGTTGTTTTTGTATTTTCCTTCTTCCTTTTCGCCATTACTAAACGTAGTTACACCATATCCATACTTCTTATTTGCATACCATTCGCCCTCATACTTCAAGCCGTCCGACCTCTCACTGATTCCGTATCCAGACCGTTTGTCATTACTCCATTCACCCATGTAGGTTTCGGTTATATTTGGATCCATATGTTCATCCTAAAATTTAAGAGGGTAATTTTTAAGAATGTCTGTTTAAATTTTTATTTATTTTTTTTTGTTGATTGAGTGATGGTTCTGACCGGTTTATTCGTGATTATACTACAGAGAAATAAGCATATCCACATTGAACCTTTCCATTTCTGACAATTATTTTATTACGAACGCAATTGTACTTGAGGTGTGCTAGCGAGCGTGCAAGTGTATAGAAAAAGTATGGAACTAACTAAAAATTCCTTTTTAAAGATTCGAGCGAAAAATTATTAATTTCATCGATATGATGTCAGTTTTATTGTTGCGGAAGCAATTCGAAAACCTTTCATTAATCAATATTTTCACTTATATTGGATGTTTCATTAAAAGCGTCCACTAGTCATTTGTTGGAAATGTTGGAAAATTATTAATTAACACATAATTCCTAGTGACTTAAAAATAAGTATCGATTGCGGTGAAACAAAATATTTTATAAATACAAATCGAAATTAAGTTGGTTTCTTTGAAGGAAATACTGGGTTTTACTGGGAGAGAACAGATAAAAGGTTTACAGAAAAATTTCAATTTATTGTTTGAATACAGTACAGCATTCAAAGATGCAATTTCAGCTTTGCCATTGAGCAATATTTTCAAAGGCACCAATGGTCGTTTGAAAAACTATTAGTTGAGCCAAACGTTGAAAAACTTGTTTAAAGGTCGAAAAATTGGCTATGTGGGAAACTTTTCTTATAAAAAAAAAACGGAAAAATGAACGTAAAAATGCCAAATTTTCCTTAACTTTAGAAGTAGATAAATTCTGATTATTTCAACAGATTTTGTTTCCGTTTCAAGCATTATCTAGCCCCATTTGTTTTTTGTTCGTCAATATTTTGGTCAAAACGGAGCACCTCAGATTAATTTTCGACAGGGTGGCAAATAAAAAAATCCAAAATTGGAAAGTTCGGAATGCTCCTAGTTGGACAAAAAGGGATTTTTTGGATTTCAACGCCAAAAGTTTAAAAATAAACCAAATAGCTCGGAACGGTTTTTTAATTTTAACGTTCTGTCGTATTTACAGGATGGTCTTAAAAAATCAACTTTTGGGTGTTGCAGCGATAACTTTTCTGCCCTTGACTCTTAAAACTTTCAACTGAAGTGAAGTTTATTTTCAATTGTTTCGTTAATTTATGTAACCGGTGTATTAAATTTTTTTGCAAGTGTAACAGTAACTTCAACATGAACCCTAGGTTTTGAAAATCTATTCAGTAGAAAATATGTATCAGTGCTAGATACTCAAATAGATAATTTGCGACCACTCTGCAAATGAACGAGATGGTCAGTCTATTTCAATCTTAAAGCTTGTGCTGTTCAATTAAAAAAAATAATATTTTGTCCAACTGCGAGCATTTGCAACCCCGTAGAAACTTTATCTGAACAATTATTTTTTGCAAAAACACGCACAAACCGAAAAAGAATTTCTAAATTAAATTTCTTCTTAATAATTCTTGGTAAATTTTTTCTTACAAAAGTGGATTATTAAATTATGTTATCGTACGGATACGGTCAAAATTAAGCTTTAGAGTATGAACAAATTTAACTGTGGTGCCATTTTTTAAGGGTGGTAATGCCTTGTGTCGCTATAAAAACGTTTTATCTTGTGTTTTTCCATATTTCTTACTGCTGTCGAGATAAAAACACTGTAATTCTAGATTAACACAGATTTCTAGCTTTAAGCTATTATCTATGAGCTATTTTTGTTGCAACAATATTGCAAACCCCTAATATAAATTGTTATAAAGTTTTGTATTTCAAATTTACTTGGAAAGTCTTGAAAGAGTCTGAAAAAATGAATCTTCAGGATGTATAAAAAACAATTTTGTAGTGATTTTTATTCCTTAAATTTGTATGCTTAGTTGTTTCGAAGATTTTCCTTACGAAACATCCAGAATAATAAGCTAGCGTAAAGTCACATCGTCGGTTCTATTTAATGTACTTTGTAAAATAAATTTGAAGAATATGGAAATAACTGTAAAATAATGTTTGAGTCTACGAAACAATACTACTGCAAAACAGAAGCCAAAAAATCACTTTCAAACTTAATTTTTAAGAAAAAAGTGATTTTATAAAGAGTTTAAGAGTATGTGGCATTTCGGTAATTTTCCATATTTCATCAGGTTCAAATTGAAAAGTAAATAATTTGAAAACAAATTTTAGAGGAAAGAGGTTCTAAAAGTTTGCAAACTGTTGCTACTGTTTTCAATTATCAATTTTAATTACTGATAGTAAGTATAATATCGTTTCAATTACCTAAAAAGACTTAGTAATAAATAATAAAAATACTTTCAATAGTTCAAACAATCCAATTCAATTCCAAAGGCCCAAAAAAAATATAGCGAGGTCTTTGAAAAAGTATATTTTATTAATGAAAATTAAAAAAAAGTTGTTCAAGCGGACTGATAATTTTTGGAATAAGAAAAAATTAACTGCTTTTGACAGGAGTCTATTTTACATTGAATTTAACAGAGCTGCACTAACTTAAGCAGAATCACCATTATTTCTCGTTGCGGTCAATCAAATCTTTGATTACAGTTTAATACGTATTATTCGATCATTTTTTAAAGAAAACGACGCGAAAGTCTATCAGATGATCTGAAGACTTGAGGAAAAGTTATATTTCTTTTCACCATTTCTAGCCACACTAACTCCAACAGTTAGGCACAGTTTTCATGTGTAGCAAATATTGCCCAATATCTATTGCGAAGTTGAAAAGATTGGCGCAAAATGTTCTCCCAAGTGCGCAATAGACAACATTTTTACGCGTTTTCTTTCGTTTTGGGTGGCTTAAATGTGCGTTGGTTTTTAAATAATTTGTGCGATGGTCTCCAAATCTGTTAAGACTTTAGTATTTATTCATTTGTTTTTTGTAACATTTCATTACATTATTATTATTCTACTAATTTTTACTAATTGAAGTGATTGAGACGAGTAGTACAACAGAATACAATCAGTAAGAGTTAACAAAAAATTGAAAAGGTAATTGTATAATTTGCAACTTACATCTATCACAAAACTGGCATTGGAATCTGACGGCATCGAAGCATTGGTCATCACAGATCCGGCTGAATCAGTGCTGATGTAGGATACAGACGAAGCATTACTTCGGATACTTCCTGACCCAGTTCTCCTATCTAACTCCCCCGTACTGGCACCTTTCTTAAGAATACCCTGAAAATGGTCAGATTTTACAGGTCATCACCATAGAGTGATCGAATCGACTTTAATGTGATCACACGTCATATTCAAAGCATGGTTAAAACAGCAGACCCTTGTCCATAGGTATTCGACCGGATAATGAATATTTTGTGAAAATTAAATGAAGTTGTTGATTATTTGTTGGACAAAGTTGCGAAAGTCTACTAAAACATCATATAACTTATCGCATTCTAGTATTTTTCATTTCTTCCTGGTCTTTGCTTTTTGTGTGGCAATTATTATCCATGATTTGTAGCCAATGTAATGTCCGAGATTAACGTATCTCTATCTATAAGAGTGAGGCAACTCAAAAAACAAACCCTCGAATTGAAATTTGAATGTTCTTAAAGGTCTGCTGTGTCTCATCTGAAGTAGGAAGAATACCACCATACTAACACAAAAATCAAACCCAAACCAAAAAACGGAATTGTTGTAGTCAATTTCAACACACAAAACGTAACCAAGAACCTCACTTTAAAAATGTTTTTTTTAATGTTTCCTGACCCCAACGATCTCCGTCTACTGGTTGAAGTAGGCTCGGTACTTTTGCTCTGCAATACGAAGCCTCCCCTGGAATCGTCCACGCGTCGGTCTCTCTTCTCTGCGGCATCCAGGGGTGTTGCGCCTGGTTCACTGCTGCGCAGCGACGATAGCGACCCGCGCAGCGCCTTCTGACCCCGATATTTCGATGCTTTGCCGAAAGGGGCGCTCGTTCGGACTCCGTAACCGTGCCGCATGCCGCGCATCCATTGTCCCTGATAGGTTCCTGGAACAAACAATATTTACTAATTTACTTATTTTGCTTTGCTTCTGACACAGCCAGAAGACTGGTTCTTATTTCACGCATTTATGACTGAATAATCAGAGTAACTAAACTTTATCATAAATTAAAACTGTTGTGCTTTTCGCTAAGATATTTAGTGAACACAAATTTGTCGGTCTATTAGAACCCCATGGAGTTACATGTTGCAAACTCACTTTTAAGTGAGGAAACATGTCACTGAACGTCAGAGTCTAAATATGATTAAATATGCTGTTTTATACTACGATCAATATTGATTTAAGAACGTGCCACGCCCACCAGCCATCATTCAACGTGAAAAGGACGTGGTAAAATAGATCGGAGTCACCAATTTGGTAGCGTCACAAAATGACGTCCAGAAACGACGTATACAGACGTGACAAAACATTAAATTTCACCTACCATGCTTTGAATTGTATAAAAACACTATGATGCAATCAAAATAACAAAGTGTGCGATATTATTTACCGGGGTAATACAATATAAGCGATTTAAAAACCACATATTCTTCAACCCTGGTTACAGACCGTAAATTTGATTGATGAGGTAAAATTGAAACGAAATTACAGTTCAATGCAGGTAAAGTTATTTAACATTTAGAAACAGTGTTGAATTGAGTACTGAAAGAAATTATTAAACGAAAAATAAATTGACCGGTGTGGAAATAAAAGGCAATTCCAGTAAATTGAATGGATCAATGATTGAGCAAGGAATTCAATATCATGTTAATCCAAAAGGTGATAAAATTAAATTCACTGCTAAATTTACAATGTGCCTATTGAAAATAGTTTGGACCAGTTCCAATCGTTTTCAAGTTGGATGAAGCATTGTGGTTTGATCTACAGAAATAAATATGGCAGTCCCACATTCAAACAAGATTAAAACGTAATATTATAATTGTAAGCTGTTAGTCCAATTTGGAAATAACCAGACTTTAACATAAATACTATATGTATGTTGGACCTAAAGTGATAACAAAGGGCTTTCAGAGTCCTTAACAGCACCATGAAATTGATCCCCGAAAGAATAATAATTAACAAATACAAGAAGAAATCATTCTATAAATCACAAGAGTCATATAATTCAGTTAAAGTTTAAAGTGTTTTAGTAAGCTGATTGAATTCAAATATTTCCTTCACTTTTAAGTTAGGTAAAAGTCGCCGAAATGTTTCATATTCCCGTCATGTTGCTTATAGAGATTAAAACTACAGGGCAATTGCATAACTGGTTTAGTAAAGTTAAGGTAATAAATAATGGTTATGAGTACATAACCGTTCTAGGCATGAGTAACACTGTGTTGAGTGGCGCTTTTGAGTTAATGCCGTTCTGTGCGTTAATACATTGTAACTCATCGCGTCTACTGACCAACACCTTGAATAACACTTAAATTTAACCTCATTAAAGATGGCAGACTTCGGAATCCAAGTTCGTGCTCACAATACTTATCCACTGATGCATTCGTAATTTAATTAATTATCTTAATTTCTCTTGAATTTCGCTTCGGTATCGGTTCTGTTAAAACCCGAATTTCGCAAATCCTAAAAAGAGTGCAATATTGGCACAAATTGAAGCACTGACAATGTTTCCTACGCATGATACAAAATTTTAAAAAATCAGCACGAAATCATCACACATGAAAACTATATCATAAAAACAATTTCCGACACTTGTTAAGTCATCCAAATATTCGAATATTTTATCCGAAAATTTGCTTGTGAGACAACTACGCTTTACAAGATGAAAATATATTGCGACTTACAATCCGACATTTATGCCATGTAGTTTAAAAATAGTTTTAAAAAATAATTGTTATTAAAAACTGAGAAATTTGCAAAAAACTATGTAGGCGACTGTAAAACGTAATTTTTCGAAATGTCAATTATTTGCCTCATAACCCCGGATTTATGTTTGCAAATAAACATACATTTCAGTCTTTAACTCCAAACAAGTTAGTGCCTGTATAATCATCTTATGCACTCTTCTCGAGCAGCTTCTCATAGGTATTCATTCGGTTAATTAACTCCTGCTCAATTTGTACCGGTGTTCGGAAGATCAGACATTTAATGTGTTTTAGTGTCCTGTGTATCTTACATAGATGGTAGGAATGTGGCTCTTTCTCAGTATTTATTTGATGCCTGGAAAAGTGTCAGTTGTGCAAGGCTCTGAGTGCTCCTGGAAGGCTCTGATGCATTGCCCCATAAAAGAAATGACGCCAATTTTGAATCACCCTGTATAGGACAGCTGTACATGTCACGTATCAAAAGGCCCTCTGTTATATCCCAACATATTTTTAGTGTTATGAGCATCATAAAATGCGCCGATTAGTTACTGGGCCGGTGCGTCGTGTTAGCGCATCACGCCGTTTCCGCATCACTGCGCCAACGCCTGAAAAGTTACCCATGCCTAAACTGTTGGCTCTAAAAATGACTAAAAAGTTTGAAGCCAGAAGTGGGAACTGACTTGTTAAGAGCATGTTTGCTGCGTGTACCTGAAATTACATTAATGCCAGCCTACTTGCAATTATATTTTTGTATTGTTGAATGGTCTAATCTAGATCGACCACTTGACAAATTGCCGAGAGTTAAAACTGGTTTTACATAATGTAAGCTTGTTATGTTCTTTGACATAACAGGCAGCGTAAACTAACGTCCTGTAGTAGATTAAATCTTATGTCACTTAATGTAAGTTTAATTTGTTTCCAAGTAGGTACGTTACTTGTGCTAATCACCTAGTATTAGCATGGGACCTATATAATTTATTATTTCCATACTGCGCCACAATGCGGCGAATATCAGAATATTGTTAACAGTTGCCGCAGAGTGAGTGAAGAACTATCATAAACTCATCTTTGGAACTAAGTATGCTTGCGTCAAAGTGCCCAATATAGAGGATTTAATTTCACTTGAAAAAAAGAGTTTGTTTAATAGTTAATCAAATAGAAATTTCAAATCGCGAAACTGTTTGGGTGCAAGATAGCTGTGAACTTGAAATCATGGTTTCGTTGACCAGGCGATGTTTTTCAAACAGGAAATATTAGCGATCAAATTGACATCAAATTCTAAGAATGCATGCGCTACTGTTTTGACTGAAGCGAGTAATGTTGCTATATTTAACAGCACATACGTCAGTTCAGCGCTCATTCATGAGTAGATAATTATTTTTGCTGATTACAAAATCACCGCCTTGTAAATGCCATCCCACTAAATAAGGTTTTAGTTTACAAAACTAAAAATAATTTTTAGAACTTCTTATTTAAATATAAACCCTTGAAATGCAAATGTTCAGAAGATCTCGGATGCTTCCAGTGGTTAGACAATTCCGTATAGTTTTATTTCTAACTTTCGGAAACTCGTACAAATTGCCTTCTAATTTTTAAGACGTTAAGAATTTCAGATTGAGCAAAATTAAGGATTTATTTAAGGTGTTCTTATATTTATTTACAATATTTAAGGTGTTCTATCGAAAATTCACTAACGGTTATTCGAATCGTTTCGATCATTTGCGAGATATAAAAGAAACTGTTGCAAACTTTACTAAATATTTAGAATCTCTTGGGAAGTTAACTATTTTGTTCTACTCCTAATGGGGGACTCTCCAAACGCTCTTTCCAATTGGTTCTTATCTGGTAATTTCAAGCCATTTTAAGATAGAAACTATTTTGCACCTTGGGCTTGTTTATTTTTGCTTCTATCAGTTTAGAAGCTAGAAATGTCTATAAAGAGCAAAATATTTATTTCTTAAGAAAGGATTATCGACCTATATCTGTGTTTCTGCCCTAAGTTAGTTACAAAGTTTCATATGAAAAGTTAATAAATAATGTATATAATCTATTTAATAAATATATATATAATTTATATTTGGAGACGCTCCATTAGGGTTGAGGTTGGGAAGAGGAAACGCGTTTGTTTGGTCGCTCTTGTTAAACAGGGGAGGTCCAGGAAGGTCCAATTGTGAGGGTTGCGTTTCCATCTTGAGTAGTCTTTCCGTAATCCTTGCCAAGTTTGTGCGTTCGTAGAGTACTCGGTTTGGTGGATTGTCTAATGGGTTTGCTGGGTATCTGATCTTCGTTACAAATCTCAGTGCTGTCTGTCCTGTAGTGCCGTTTTGTTTTATTCAGCAAAATTAATTATTCGGATCTCGACTCACACAATGATAAATATATTAACTGATTAGCAATTTAACCCGTACAAAAAATATTTTGGTTCACTTTTAACTAATTATTTTCACTAATTATCATGTGCGAGTAAGTATTAAGTAATATTAAGTATATTAAGTACTCAAGTATTTAAATTCTCATTATTCGGTTGCGTTCATTTTAAATATCGTTTCTGTTCGTATGGATAGATGCAGCAGAAGAGTTTAGCCCTTTTTTATGATTGTGTGTCTTTATCAAATCAAACCTCGTTTCTGTTTGTAAAATTATTGTAATTTTAAGATTTGACTATTTTCGTCTAAAAAATGTGTTGATCAAAACACCAATAACCTCTTTTGATCAAAACACCAATAAGATGCAACGTTGAACCAACGTCGATTTTTTGTTACGCTGACAACATCACAAACGCTAATATACCAGAATGAAAAGCAAGCAAACTAACATCATCATAAAGACTTTGATAAAATGTTTGCAAATCGCTCATTAATACTTCTGTTCATATTCATCAGTAGATGAAACTATTTTTTGTCTTGTCTAGGACATCTGTCTGTATTTTTCTCTTGTCTAGGACATATGTTTCTCGCCTAAAGGCTTATTACTCAATATTGAGCATTATTAAAACGACGAATAATCATTAGTAAGACGTTTAAATTATGTACATATCACACCACTTTAAGTTATCAACGTCGTCTTTTCTTATTTCTTTACATGCTTTCGTATAAGATGTCTGATATAGACAAACTCACGTCTGGAAGAGGTCGCAACGACGAAACACTCGGTACGTCAGAAGGAACTTTGAAGATATTTATTG